CTAGCTAGCTAGCTAGCTAGCTAGCTACTTCGCTAGGTAGCTAGCTAGCTGCCTGGCCCTCTTGCAGTGCAGCAGGAGTCGCACACTGCAGCCGCCGCAGCAGTAGCAGCAATGCGAGCACCGCCAACAGCAACAAGAGCAGCGAGAGAAAAATAAGCAGCAGCAGCAGCAGCAACGCGGGCATCAGCAACAGCAGCAGCAGTAGCAGCAGCACGAGCGCCATCAAAGCAGCAGCAGCAGCACGGGCGTCAGCAAAAGCAGCACCAGCAGCAGCACGAGCATCAGCAAGCGCCGAAGCAGCAGCAGCAGCAGCAGACCAGAACGCGGGAATCCTTGAGCTGCTGCAGCACAGTGCCCAGCCTGGCCGCGGAGCCCACGAGGGCCAAAGAAGAAGAGACCAGCGAAAGGTGACCTGTGTGTTTATTTTTGTAATTCAAAAAGGCCTGGGGAAGCCGCGAAAATATCACTGCAGCGCAGCACACACAGCCCAGGAAGCCCTGCAGCAGCAGCAGCAGCAGCAGCTGCTGCTGCTGCTGCTGCAGCTGCTGCTGCTGCTGCTGCAGCAGCTGCAGCAGGAGCAGGAGCAGCAGCAGCTGCAGCAGCAGCAGCAGCAGCTGCAGCAGCAGCGGCTGCAGCAGCAGCAGCAGCACAGGGAGCGACGGCCGCGCATAGGGTAGATGAGAGTCAGACAAAAAAAGAAAAAGAAATCCGAAAAATAACTTAAGACACTTTAAGTCCCACTGCGCATGCATGCGCTGGAAGACAAAAATAAAACAAGTTGCAAATATTTGCATGCATGCGCTAGAAGACACAAAAATATAAGTTGAAAATATTTTGCAAATATTTTCAAAAATTGCAATTCAAGCGGATGCATAAGAGCCACTGGGATCTACAACTACACACATACCATTTCTAACTATTCAATCACATGCATGCATAAATATGTATATTTATAATATATCTATAACATATATACTATATGTACATAGTGTATATATAATATATATATATTATATACATGTTTAATATATATTTAATATAAACATATATATATTTGTACATTCTTCTTATATGCGCACACGCATTCATAAATGTATACATAAATATACATGCAAATATATATCTATACATATACAGATATTACTTAGCAAACAACATAAACATATATATGAATATATATGTAAATATGCACTTCTACATATACAGATATTTATTAGCAAACAACATAAATATATATATATGTATAAATATATACGCAAATATATATTTTTGCATTCACAGATATTTATTAGCAAACAACTGCGCCGATAGATAAGTTCTTTGAGAGTGTACATACACTGTGGGTGTGCCTCAAGTGTCCATACACCTGGCAAAAGGCGCATGCAAATGCGCATTTATTTGGCATCTTTGCATGTGAGACATTATATATGTGTAGAATTTATATTTGCTGCTGCTGCTACAAGAACCTGAATTTTCTGCTGCTGCTGCTGCTGCAAGAACCCGAATTTGTTGCTGCTGCTGCTACAAGAACCTGGATTTGCTGCTGCTGCTGCTAATGCAAGAACCCGAACTAGCTACTGCTGCTGCTACTACAAGAATCTAAATTTGCTGCTGCTGCTGCAAGAATCTGTACTCGCATGCAAATAGACACAGAATGTATCTTCGAATGTATATATACATTTTGTAGCTGCTTATATGCAAATGTGCACGAGTGCATGCATATCAGCGGCAAATGTTGGTCAACTCAAATCTAAATAACAGTAACTAAACCCAATACAACTGTAACTGCACAAGCACACATACGGGTATTTTCAATGTAAAAATGAATATATATATATATATAATATGGATATACATATATATATTACACACATGTTTATGCACTAAAACACATGTGCCTTACTATACAAATATATAGAATATACAGCACGAACGCATGCAATGTGCATGCATGCAGAATGCATGCATGCAGAATGCATGCATGCATTAAAACGCACAGAGCGGCACAGGGACCAGCCCTGCGAAGTTGACGACGCTTCTGCTGAGCGTTGGCGGCAAATAGTTATTATAGAGAGACCAAAAAAGAAATCCTAAAAGTGAAATCGCCAAAAGGCCGAAACGGCGGCGGCGGCGGCTGCCTGGGGTGTACGTCCAGTACATGTGCAGCAGCAGTGTGTTCTGAATGCCTGTCCAGAAGAACAAACAATGCGCAAAAAGACCAATTAATAATTAATTAATTAATTAATTTTTAGTAATTAATTAATTATCAATTAATTTCTGCATTTCGGCAGCGTGTGCCGACAGATCAGCAACGCGACTAGATTCAAACACGCAAGCGCTGCGCCGGACCCCAGAAGCGACACCCTACTAAACCCTAAACCCTAAACCCTAAACCCTAAACCCTAGAATAAGAAGCTGGCTCAAGTGGAAGACACGCGGCCTGCTGCGAATAGGGGAAGAAGCACTCGCGATACCCCAAAGTCGCTGCTGCAGCTGAGCTCGCACACTCGATAGACCCTAAACCCTAAACCCTAAACCCTCCTCACCGATGAAAAGAGCCTCCCCCCAAGTAGCAAAAGGGTGTTTAAGAACAAGATTATACCCCACAACTAGTTCTGCAGCGAAAACCTGAGACACAAGGCGAGCCAAACCCTAAACCCTAGGCTTCAACTGCTGATACCCTAAACCCTCTCTCCTGGCCCCGCAGCAGGCGTGTTCAAACGCAGAGGCTGCCGCAGCGCAACAAAGGCAGGGGCTAGGGTTTAGGGTTTAGGGTTTGGAGGTCACTTCAGAAACCACCGTGGCATAAGATATGCCAGTAATACTTCTCGCCGACCAAACTTTCAACAGCTGCGGGACTCTGACAACGAGGGCCCCCGTAAGAATGAGAACATTAGCGATTAGGCCGATGGACTGTACGCACACCCCAAACCCTAAACCCTAAACCCTAAACCCTAGACCCTCGGTCCCCCCAAAGCCGCTTAAGCCTTCCGAGCTGCCGGTGGCTGTCTGCACTCTGCAAACCCTAAACCCTTTCAAAACCCTAATCACTGATTTTTAAAGGCTGAGTCGCCATTCGAGGGACCACTCGGAGGTTTACGGGAAGGCAAAAGCACCGGGAGAGTGCAGCTGAGCCTGCCTAGGGTTTAGGGTTTAGGGTTTAGGGTTACCTCCCTGACGCAGGGCCCTGTGAATGTGTAGTTGTCGAAGGCAACGGCGCATGCAGGCGAGGCAAAGCCCCAAGACTGCATGAGGCTGCCGACGCCCATTTTGGCTGGGGGCGGCCGTGCCCTCTGGGTCTGTTCCGTTTAGGGTTTAGGGTTTAGGGTTAAGGGTTTGGAAGTCTGATTCTGAAGGGGCACTTGGCTTCGGGGGCAGTGAGTCTGGGCCGCGCGAAGAGAAGCTGAGGCTCGGCAACAGGAATTGAACTTCGTCGAATTTGTTGAATGCAGAGAGAAGACGGGCCGCCGCTATTCTCTCGGAGTCTCGCGCGGCAAGTTGTTTTTGTTTGCGCAATTTTAATTGGAAGAATTCAATTGCATCGTCAAGGCGCTCGCAAGTGTTGTTCAGACAAAGCAAGGGGGAACGACGGAGAGGCGCGCATGCGGCGTGCGTGCAGCTCCGCTTTTTCCAGAAAAAGTGGAAGAAAAGAATTAATTGAAGTTTAATAAATGCAATTAATTCATCTTCTTCCTCTTCAAAGGCAGACTCCGCAGCAACGAAACACAGCCCGCAACCGCGGCGAGTCTGCGGTCTAGGCACTCACTCGGTTGCTCGCGCTTCTCCTGCGTCGAACCCTCATGTTTCATATTTTCCTTTCAACTTTTCCAAAAAAAAGAATATAAACAAAAGTTAAACTCAATTTTAGGCGAGAGGACGCGGCTAACGGCGCACTCAAACTCTCAGCATGGCTGCCGACATGCGCAGGCAATGGACGGCGTTCCATCACCTCCCAACGCGTGCAGTTCCACTGGCAAATTAGATCTGAAATCCGGCGAAAGCAGTTGAATTTTAAGCTCTTATTTCATTAAATTAAATAGAATAATGAGAAGAAACAAATGAATGTGGAATGGACCAGCTTAATGGTGCTTGTCGTCTCGCCGCTGCCGTGCCAGGCAGCGTCTCGCAGCCACTTTTAGCCTGTTTCCTCTTTCAAGTCTTCCAGAATGAAAAGAGCGAACTAGCCTGAATTTGACTCAAAATATTAACTTTTGGATATTATCCTGTTGCGGGTAGAGCTGCTTTACAGTGAAGCATGTGACTGAAGAGGAGAAACGTGAAAAAAGGAATTCTTGAATGTAGATCAATCCCTTCTTTCACAGTCTCTCACAGAAGCTGCAGTATGTTCTACAGGGCTTCGGTTGCAAGTGAACAAATTAGTGAGAGTCAACAAAACAATAATAGAGGATGGTCGTTTGTGAGTCTCTCCTCCTTCGCCCGCTGGGCGCGGACAGATAAAAATAGGTCGGCGGTGTCGATCTAGTGAATAAAATAGCACGTAGCTCAACCCGCATGTAAAATATGTGAAGCTTCACTAAAAACAAGAAAAGAAAATAAATAAAAGTCAAAATAGCGCTAACGACCGGCAAGCCAACGACGCTTTCGCATGCAAGCTGAGGCGCCTTATAAATACAATTGCAGAAAGCAAAGGTGCTTCTGATCATAAAACTGAACGGAAAAAGTACAAACACTTAGAGCTCCTTCATCAAGGAAATGTATTCGCTTTCTTCCTCCTCCACTGCCGGCTTTTCTGGAGGTTCCTGACGGACACTGGCCTTTGAGGCCCTGGCTTGAGATCTTCTTTGTCTTCTTTTCTTTTCTTCTGCAGTTTCAAACAGCTTGGGGTTGGCCTCCACGTACAAAGGCTCAGGTTGAGGAGCAGGTGAGATGGAGCTTCTGCTGCTGCTGCTGGAGCTGATGCTGCTTCTGGGGCTGGGCGTCGGTGGCACAGGTTCTGCTGTTGCTCCTGGTGCTGCTTCTGCTGCTGGTGCTGCTTCTGCAGCCACCTCTGTCGCGCTCGCCTCTACATATTGTTTAAACAAGTCCTCTTCTTCCCACACGGGGGACAAAACAACCAGCAGCTCTTCCATTACCGATTCTGAAGAGGCACATGTTGAAACTCACGAAGGCACAAAAGCTAATGAGAACGAACAAAAGGCTAGATCAAACAAAAGTAAAAAAAGAGAAAAGAGAAGGCAATAAATCAAGGCGAGACAAAAAAGGAGGCATAGTTACTTAGTGCAGATAGGAGCAAACTCAAAGGCAAGGCGCACACAGCAGCACAGAAAAGAAGCACGCAAACAAGAAGCAGCAACTCTACGGCGCAGCAGCAAGCTCTTGTTTGCGTCTGTCTCACCGAAAATGGGGCCGCCAGTATCTTTGTTGCAGAGAATGAAAAGCTTTGGGTGTTTGTTGATGAGGCTCGACCCAGCAACAACAAGGTGCTCCGTCAGGGTGTGGCCCGCAACGTTGGACAGGAACAAATTGTGGGCGAGTTCGTGTGTCTGGCCTTTGGCGCAGCTGTGGAGAGTGCCGGAAACGTGCAGCACGGCGCAGAGGCCTAGCACATTATTTTGGCCATTTTTCAGTTTGCGTTTGCTCTTTGTGGCCAATTGAGAATGCACATAAGTCTTAAACCCCTCTTGGATCACGAGAGGAAGAGATAGAGAAACGCCCAGGCTGTTCGCCAGGCCGCCGTACATAGAACGCGCTTTGAGCCGCATGCCGCTGGGACCCTCAGAGGGCCGTGTAGCAATAGCGCCGGCAGCACTAACTGCAAGAAGCAAAAAGAAAATTAAAGAAGACAGGAAAATGTAAATGACGGGCAGGGTGAGGCGCTGATAAAAAACCAGAATACAAGCACCAAGTACACCGAATAGCGGCATCACTCTGCCCAGCAGCACCACCCAACAAAATGTATGTGCTCCAGGAAGACTGGCGCAAACAAGTGGCGGATAAAAGCAGAGAAACAGCACTGCGAGCACGAAACAGACAGCAAGCAGCAGTTTAGTACGTGAATTGAATTTTAAATGATGAGCACAGCATGCATTCAGCTTCATGCAGGCCCAAAAATGGTACTAGAACGTACTGAGAGACGAACAGTACTTCGTATCAGCACCTGCAGGAAACAAAGCACAACAGGCGGAGATGAACGAATACAGCTCCACAATTATTGTATGGATCTTAATTTGCTTTTACAATTTAATGTGCTCTGTTGTCCTTTCTGCGAAACCCTCCATGTTCTTGCATGCGCGAACCACTGTAAATCCTTGTGACTGGGCTGACGCAAAATAGACAGCTGAACGAAAATTTTATTAGCTGCCTAGCTTATTAGCCAAGGCCTTACTTTTGGCGAATGCTTTTATGACTTTCCGTTTCTGCTCGTAAGCCTTTTCATCTTGCCTTGCCTCTTCTCCCACATCGCTGTAGGGGAACAAAAAGTACTTGTGGAGGTTAGAAATTCTTTCAATGAGCGCTGCATGAGCCAGAACCCCGGTGGAGTTCTCCACCATCGAGGATTCGAGAAGCTGCTGCCAGCCAGCCAAGAGGGCCCCCATGGCACCGCAGACTGCGGCAAATCGGGGAGCGTTGCGGCCTCCTGATTTTTTCAGAAGCATGGGAGCCATTGTCGCCAAACGCAACAGGAGGTCGTCTGTTGCTTTCGCCAAGTCCAGTCTCTTTCCTCCTAAGGTAGATGAACTCCTCACGGGACAATCAGCTGAAAGGTAGGAAAGCGAAGTACACAAAGGCACACTCCACTTAATCTTTCTAGTCTTATTAAAAGCAAATTGTGCAAAAGAAAAAGCGGCATTTGGCATTTGCGAAACAGGGTCGGCGCAGGTAGGAGCGCGTGTTCGCATATCTAAAACTCACGGGATACTTCAACCCAATAAGGCAGTCTGCGATAAGGGCCTGAAACAAAAACAGTATGACGAAGTAGGAGCAAACATGAGATACAAATGAGTCTACTTTTCGTTTAAACGCAAAAGCGAGAGCGAAGGCGAAAGTTGAAACCATGCCAAACGCTGAAAGAAAAAAAATGGCACTGAGGCACGCACCATGCCTTTTTGCGATGGCTTGTTGGAAGAAAGCCCAGGGCATAGATCCGGCGATCTCCGCCTCGTCTGGAGCAACTGTAGCCACCGGTCTGCCGATGACGGCTGGTGCTTCTTTGCGGGCTGGAATCTCGTGGTAGATTTCTCTTTCCGAAGGTTTGATGGGAGCATATATGCCTTCTTTAGGTTTCTCTTCCTCAGGCGCAGTAGGCTTAACTCTTGCTGCAGCTGCTGCCGCTCCTGGTGCCTCTGAAGTTGTAGTAATGATAATTTGTCTTGTAGCCTGAGGTATGTTCGGGAAATTACTAATTATCCGCTCGCTAATCTCGGGTGCTTCGCCCCCAGCTGCGTTAACGACCCAGTTCATGGTACCCTTGTCGAGCATCATATGAGCAGCTGTAGGCGCAAGACACAAAAGAGTAGGGAAAAAAATTGCCACATATACCAAAGTACAGTAGGCTTTAATCAGGCTGCATCTCCGGCTTATTGCATTGAGGCAACACTGAACCACGAGTTTCGTCTATTTCAGCCACGCCTGGACTTAATAAATGAAGACGAAATAAAATGTTTAGCCGTTTGCTGAGCGTACATTGTACAGTCTCAAGGAACAAGGCGGCTTCCTCCGAGTTGTCTAAAGTAGTTTTGCCCTCTGGCCAGCCCGCCAAGCGCATGCACAGAAGGAAATGCTGGGGGGAGCTCAGGCGCAAGCGTTGAAACAGAGACAAGACTGGTTCCCCTAGGACAACGCGAGGTTCTGATATCGCAAAAAGAAGCAGAAACAGAGAGAGAGAAGTGAGGATCGAATGACACGCTTGAACAAAGGGGGAAAGGGGAGAAATGGAAACCGATACAAAGAAGGAGCTCAGAAATTGTGGCGAATTTGAGAAATCCGCAAAGGAAAAGGAGATAGAGAGGCAGGCACAACGGGAAGCGGCAGCCAATGCAATGAAGGGATCTGGGAGGGGGAAGATAGAGTTAGACACGAAGTCGTCACAACATGGGGACAGAGGAGAAAAAATCAACTAAAGCACAGCTTCTATCGGACCTGGCGGTTTTCCTGTCTCTCCGAGCTGTTGCAACCACGCGTTCATCGCTGAGACCAAAATCAAAGAAAGTTAAATCGAGGGCGCATTTACAGCCGAGCTGGCGCAAGGTAGAAAACAGGCACTAGGGATTAACAACAAAGTAGCATACAGCACCTTGTAATAGAAAGCAAAGGTTTGACTTACATTCTATTTTTCCAGGCAGTAGCGCAGAAACGCCAAGACCCATGCCTGCGACAAAGCGAAACAGGTATGACAAGCAGCATGCAAGTGACAAACCATTTGGAAACAAAGCCGAGAAAGAAGCCCCAACAAGTGACAAAGACTTGCTCGCGGCTCTACACGCGTAGTAGTAAAGGCTGAAGCTGCTGGCATATCTATCGCTCTCTTTCTATCTATATACGTATACTATTATATCTATATCTTCCTTGTGTTTATTTGCTTCTTCAAGAGATATCGCACTTTCGGAGTAAAAATTGCCAGCCGCATAGTCCAGCCAGTTTCCTCTTTGTGGTCTTGCTTTTGGTTCGTCCAGTGTTAGACCTAAGCAATTAACAGAGCAATTCACAGAAAGTGCAAAGATGCCTCTCGCACCATGCGTGCTCTGTGCAACCAACACAGAGAGCCTCGTTTTCAGTCGAAATATGTGGTCAGCTACACACTATGCAACCCGCTCGGTTGCCTAATTTACAGGTTCAGAAAGATAAGTGAGCCGCTACTTTGCAGAGGTGACAGTTGGCTATGTCGCACCTGTGATGATCAGTTGTAGGGCTCTCATCTCCCCTTTAACGGATCCGTTGAGTGACATGTTGCAATGCTGCATATGAACATTTAGAACTCCATCATCTCCACAAACAAAACCTAAAGTGTTTACAATCACTTCATGCGCTTGACCAAACATGCTTTCTTTGTCAGCGAAACGATCCCAGGAAGGATGCTGGATCCGCTTAGCAAACATTCGCTGAACCAGCAATGCATACTGCTCCGTCTCTTGCACTCTTGGCGCCCAGAAAGGTACAATCAGAGATAGGGCCTCTTGCGGGACCAGAGAGGCCCCTTGGGGGCCTCTTACAGTGTTGTAGTATTTCAAGACAACGTTCAGGGTCCACTTGGATATAGAAGTTTCCGGCAGGCCTGAGGGTATAATCGTTGTTCTTTTTGCCTACTTCTTAGGAACTGCGCTTCCCCTTTGGCTCACGCGCTCGTTACTTCTGTTTCCTTTCAACAAACGCACCAGGTAATAGCTCTTGGAGAGCCAGTCGATCTGAGGCCTCCAATATGGCAAACAGAGCAGTCTCCAGATCGCCAAACTCAACTGGACAGAAAAGCAAAACAAAAAACTTGAAAGTAAACACTAAACTCTACTGTCGCTTGTCAGCGAATTTGGTTGTGAGCAGAAGCTTCTGCATGCTCGCATGCAGAAGCGTGGACCCCGTACTAATTGAGCAAAAAACTTTTCTTTTGTGCTGATACTCTATTTTCACGATTACTGTCTACTGCTGGCTCGCATGCACAGGTGCACAAGAAGCATATAAATGTATATATGTCTCAAAATTGGCCAGCATACGGACACAAGCTTTCAAAAACATATGAATGTGTGCGTAAATATGTGTGTACTTGTATATTAGGTGTAATGCAACTAACCTCTTCTTGTGTTTAATCGTCTGCGGAGGTCCTCGGATATTTCTGTATAGGACACAAAAGCCAAGACATATTATACCATGACGTATGAAAAAATGCGCTCGTGATTAATTTTTTGTTTATCTTTCTAGAGATAAACAAGAAAACCAGATTTCTTCCAGAATAAACTGATCCATGAATCCTTAAATTCTAGCCAATTCGCTCACTTTCGGGCAGAGTCATATCGATTGCAGATTGCAGTTCTAGTGCCGTAGAGTACTCAAGAGCTGAATTGAAACAAGGTGAACCACATTTGGTAAATCTTAAACAATTTTTATGACGGAGCTGTAGGATGTATCCCTCGAAACAAAAGCCAGCAGATGCGCTTCTATGGAATTGTGGTCTGGTGTACGCCCCCAACTGTTACTTTCCTTTCGAGCAGCAAATTCAACTTCCAGGGCCTTATAATTATCATCACTATTTGCTCACTCGGTGCTGTCTTAACTTCGAGGGCCAACAGCGCCTTCGCCAGCTTGTCCTCTGAGGCATTTGGAGTGGCAAATGACACAAAAAGCCCCTAGTACTGTTGTTCTGTATATTTTTCAAGCTTGATTTTGTGTATTTCTCCTATGCACTTTACGTATTGCAATTATCTTTTTACCAGGTGAGTCCTCCGGTCCAGCCGAAGGCACCGCTGCGGCAGCCGCGCCTAGCGGTGCGGTCTCTCGCTCTGCAGAAGGAATTTCAGCTGCTGGTGCTTCAGTAGGTGGCTGCTGCAGCTTTTGCTGCTCGGCAGTCCCGGCTGCAGCTGCTTCAAGGCCAGGCTGTGCTGCTTCCTCTGGAGGCTTTTGCGTGGCCATTGCAGCTTCAGCTCCCTCGCCAGCTGTAGGCTCCCCTTGTGCTGCAGGTGGTGCTGCTGACCCTGGGGCTCCTACTGTTGCTTCAGGAGCTTCCGGTCCCCGCGCTTCAGCTGCACCTGCGGCACCCGCCCCCCCTGCTGGCTCTGTGGCGCTTAGGCCAGCCAAATCAACTGTGTCTGCCTCTCTGAATTCGGTGAAGGAGCCAGCAGGGAGCCCGCCCAGATCAGTACCTAAGGACAGTGGCATATCCAAACGAGTCAAGAAGGCCAATGATGTGGGGCCAAATAGGGTGTGTGTTCACTGCAAAGCGCTGTAAAAAGACAAAAAAATGAAAGTGAGGACTATGAAAGGGACTGGAAAAACGCGCGTAGTGATGGAAACAAAAAGTCAGACAGCTAGCCTTACCGTTCAAGGCGTTGCCGTTGGCCGCAAGCGCCCAGGCGCAACAAAGTGAAATAAATGCCTTCATCTTTACCTAATGTACAAGTTGAGTCTTAGCGACGACGAAACCGGGTCAACGCGAGAGAGTCACAAGGGGCTCAAGGGCCGTTGTGGCGTCGAGTCCACGAAGGGCCACTCACAGCGATTTGGCGACACGTGCGCATGAAAGAATAGGCAAACGCACAAAGACAAATCACATAAAAGAATTTAAATACATTTCCCGCCTCTTAGATACTTATTTCAGTTGGAAAGAGACATAGAGACTCCTTCAGCTCGCCAGCAGCAGCGGCATGGGCCCACTGCGGCGCTTCTGTTGGTACTCACCGTCAGCTCGGGGATTGAGGCCTTTCTCTTTTCCTCTAAATGAGGCAGATTCAGAGTTAGTTCAAAACTAGTTCCACATAATTTTGGGTATTAAACTCAAAAATCAATGATTATTGCTGTGTAAAGCGTTTTCATGAGTTAGTGCATTGGGCTCATTCGCCCGATCACTACTCGCGTGTGGCCCAGACCAGTGGCGGTGAGCTACGTGCTGGGCATTTAAATGAGTGATAAAACCAAGTATACCCAATTTACAAATCAAGAAAAGTATTATGCCTTTAAATGCTTTTATCCGTCTTTTACATTCCTCAAATTTGCCCATTTCAGGCGCCTGTTGTGTGTACCTGTCACCGAGGCTCCTGTCTTAATGCCTCAAGCTCATGAAACAGTGATGCAGGACAGCCTGCAAAGTTAGGGAGCTTGGAGACCCGTAAAAGGCACAAACAGCAGCTAAGCCTTCTATGATTTTCCTCACAGGATAAACTGTTCCCAGCATTTGCTAGTGTCCACCGCCTAGGCTAACGTGCGCGAGTGTCTGACTTGCCTAGTCGCGGCTTTACTTTGGCTTCATTGATAATTTTTGTAGTCAACAATGAGTAGGCCTTTGCTTTACTGCCACTGACGATTGTCTTTGGTCTGCACCAGGAACTGCCGCAGCAGTAGAGAGTGGTAAGGGACAGGAAATAGCTGGTACCCACGGAGAGGGGAAAGGGAATGAAAAAAAAACGCACAAACAATCAAGATGAGCCGAATATGCAAATCTTTATTCAACAAATTACATTTGATGCCGGGAAACTGATAGTGAACTCCTGGTGTATGTGCAAGACAAACGTGTACTAATCAAAGCGTTGCCAACACAAAAATGAGTGAAGCATCAGGAGGAAACACACACTACAAAAAAATTGCACAATAATGAAAAATTCCCACAATAAACAACATCTGAGTATCCTACGATGACAACTTTACTCCTAAAAGCACTGCAAGGATTGCTTTTTATGCACAAATACGCATTTTACGTATATCATTCCAAACAGCACATACCATCGGCAAAGAGTTATTTGCACACTCTAACTTCCTAAAATTTTTGCGTTATCTCATTTTCCGCCTTCGTATAATAAAGCCTATGCTTTGATATTATTTCAAAGTACACGTATGCACGCTGCAAGTGGAAGATGGTACGACGTAAATAACAAATGATTTGCTGGTGTGAACATAGATGGCCAGTAAGGCTCTGAATAGTACCACAGAGAAAGGGCTAACGCAAATCAGTAGGTCACTACTAGCATCACTTAAATGAATTGAGAGCTTCGTTGAGGATTCCACGCTATCACTAGGTGAAATAGTGCATAAATCACAACATTACTTCAACATATTCAAACCAAGCGATAATACACAGTGGGAGTGATCCTCCACTCTAGGCGCATGAGAAACTAAAACAAGAAAGATTTTGAAAGAGGTTGCATTAGTGACTGCAATAACTGCAAGCACGCTGCAAAGCGCAGCGGGGTGCTGCATTCATCTGCGTCCTGGACATCTCATGCGCCCATGAATTTGGCGTGCATGGTTCATGGTTCCTTCTGGTCACAACTCAAAAATGTTCTGCAGTCCAGCTTACAGTCATTTGATTCACTATATCTTCTTCTCATAAAGCGGGAATGCAAATGGCAGCTCAACCATTCTGCGTAAAACGATTTTAGCCATATATGCATATACGTCTGATATTGCAAGAAAGACTTTCCTTTTTGACAAAATAGGAAAAGTTACTTTGTAGAGAGTAATGCAGCAAATTAACATACTGTAGCACTTTCATCAATATTTAAAACAAAGCATGTGAAGACAAGGGGGAAAAAGACCGAAAAGAGGGCCTGAAGTGCAGCAGTAGTTCCCTATAACTCTTCAAATGGAGTTGCCTGGAGTGGCGACGTCTACTTTTAACCGTACTCTGCTGATTCCACTTTAAACAAATATCTGTGTAGCAAGTAGCAATGCTTGACCCAAGAGGGAATTGCTTCAAATTGTCCTGATCGGACAGGAGCAATGGTACTTCCATGAGAAGCGCTCTCTTCTTCGCACTTTTGCGGCGGCAGACAGAGCAAGGAGCATGGAGGAAAGAAGCTGTATGTGCAACTTTCGGAGAAGGTTGCTTACAAAGTAAACAGCCATTTTACATTTTTCAAGACGCTTGCAAAGCATGTGCGCTGCTTAAAGAGAGGCTTGGTCCGGTCCGTAACACGAGGTATTGTTGCTCGATTAGCATTGTCCGCCTTACCACTCCTGTTGCGATCAGCTTAAGGACTTTTACGCTAGTCCTTGATCTTTTCGTGCAACACTTGGGACATATCAAAGTGTCAGTTCATCTGCGCTTGCTTTGATACAGCCTATGCATAGCCTCTAAGTAACGTTATAGCGCTCTTAGTGGGAATGCTCTTCGCTGCTGCCACTTTCTCAGTGACTAGCACGCCAGCATGCTTACCAGTGAGCGCAGTCTCACGGATGCCACTACGAAGGTTGCGCCACATTGCGCTCTAAGTATCCATGTGCCTGGAATCAGGACTGCTCGTCAGAGCTCATTCGTACTTCATGGCGTTTTCCCTTGCATGGGCGCCAGAGCAGAAACCTTTCACGCGTGCTTGAGGCACATATACGGGCCAGCTCTCTTTGCTACAGTAGCAGTGTCAAGTGACTGTTAAATGTGATGTAGTCCACGCAAGGCGCTGTGTGCCTCTGCTTCGACGCCATAAATGCGGTTCGCTCTCCTGTAGTCACTGTTGCACCGTTCCAAACCCATAGTATCTCCGTGTTGCACATAGCAAGTGCTTTTACATCAAGCCAAGTCTAAAGGCTCCAAGCAACGACCAGTTGAAGGGACCACTACGGAGGACGTCTGATTTTTCTTTAGGCTTGGTCTATGCATCTGTCCAGAGGCAACAATCTGATCAGGACAAAAACGTTGTGCAGATCCTTCCCTTAATTGCATATTTCTCATCTTTTCTCGGTGGCCCGTTACTTCAAGAAGCTCCACATGAATACACCGCCACTATCCGTCATCTTGAAGACGGAAACGACGAAGCTCTGTGCGCTTTGATAAGACAGAAGCACTTAAAATAATGCAAATACTGAGTTGTAGATGATAAAAAAATGCAACAGGAAAAACTGGCACTAAGGGAAAGCTATAAAAGGACGATAAAACGAAAGGACTGTTTTCACCCTCACCCGCAGCAACTGTGGGTGCTGCTGCTGTTCTTTTCCTGTTGCTGGTACTTCATGCTATGAGTGGCTGTCCTCCCACATAGTATACATAGAGCAACTAGACCGCAACATGCAGCAGCAATAAAAAAGCTGCTGCTGCAACCGCTACGAAGATTAAAAAAACGCATCTGGGACTTTCCGAACAAGGCCTGTTCCTCTTGATGCTGGGCTGAAGCAGCTCTTCCAGTGCTGCAAGCTATAATGTGTTGCCCCATCGCTGTTGCCGCTGCACTGCGCTGTGCTGTTACTGGCGTTACTACATATCACAGCGCTCCTGCAGCTGCAGGAGCAGAACGTGACACACCTGCTGCACGGCGTCGTGCAATTCACGCTGCCTTTTCAGCTCCTGATGCTGCATCTGTACTTCCGCATGCTGGTAAACAAACGTTCTCTCTTGCCGCTGGTAAACAAACGTTCTCTCTTGCCGTTGCTGCTTATCCAATATCCTCCTGCTACTCCTGTTCAAGTCGAAGCTCTCCCTCTTCATGTTGCTGGTCCGCATCGTCTTGCTGGTCCTTGCCTTTGTCTGAAGGCAGCGGGCTCTGTTGCTCCTGCAGCGGGCACTGTTGCGGCTCTAGGTGTTCCATCCTTTGCCGTTCCTCCTGCTCCCGCCGATGTGTATCCTGCTGCTCCGAAAAAAAGTCATTCTGCACCAAATAGTGCAGGGCGGCGAGGAGCTTCCTTTCCCACTTCCGGCGGTCTGCTGCTTGTAGCAGCAGCCGCAGGGGAGGACGGAACATTAACTGTTGCGGCGGCCGAAGCTGGGATGTGTGCACACCCCAAAGATTGCCACTGTCTGAAGCAACCCATACAGCAGACAGCAGCAGCAGAAACAAATATGTTAGACCTATCCTTTCGCAACAAACAGGACGACCGAATAGGCCAAGCAAAGCCTCAAAGCAGTAACCTATGTTGTCAGAGCTGCTTTTCAGTGTCTACGGCTCTGAGTGTACAGCTGAGGCAGCAGCCTGCACGTTCTAATGCCCACCATAAGGGGAAAACCATGAGTCAGGAAGGCGTCCTGCGTACTCATTTGAGTTGCTAGCGAGCGAGTTTCGTAGAATTGCTGAAAACATAACGTCAAGATCCATCGCCCCTCAAACCCTTAACCGCAGGCTAAAGACGCTAAATCCTATCGCCTCAAACGGGTGTATCGAAGCCCTTACAAAAGCCGACGCAAATCGAAGCCTTCGGGCATCTACAATTCAAATCAGTTACTGTATAGCTTCTGCCTG